GAGGAGGCCCCAGAGAAGGGGGTGAGGGAAGCTCGCGGGCGCACCTGTAGCTCCCACTCATCACCACGGCACAGTCCACCAGCAGGAACTTCTCCTTGACGTGGCCCTTGAAGGACTTCCCAGTGCGGCAGTAGTAGGTGGGGCCCGCCACAGTCCGTACCCGCAGGAACTGGGGAGGGAGGGGAGTCAGATCTCTGCCGCGGGTCCTCCCCAATCTCCCACTCCCGGGAACTCACATCCACGTGGTGCAGGTTGACACGGCACTTGTCGGCCATGTCCAGGAAGTGCTGCGCGTTCATCTCATCCAGCAGGATGTAGACTGGGACCCGACGGGCGGCGGCCTCCAGCACTTCGCTGAGCAGGTCCACATCAGTGAACATGTCCATCACCACGGCCACCACCTGCAGGGGCGGGTCAGGACAGAGAGGAGAGGCCCCTGCTGTCCCCACACTATTGTCCAGCCTCCCCACCACGCCCAGGAGGCGTCTGGATCACCCACAACCACTGTGAAACAAGCTAGTCCATCCCTGGGAGTGGGGCCGCGTCTGGAAGATGGGTAGGAGGAAGGAGAAGGACCAGAAGGAGAAGAGGTGTGGAGTGGCTGGCCATGAGGAGGGAGCCGAGGCAGGTGCAGGGCAGAGAACCCTGGACGAGGGTGGGCCAGGTTGGGGTATGGGGCCCCGCTGGGGGCATGGCAAGGGCACCTCAAAATCCCCTCCACCCTACAGACGGCTGAGCTGCCCCCACTCCAGGACAGCTGTCAGGGCTGAGTCCCAGGCTCCAGTTCTGCCCTGGGACAGGGTTGCTGCCATGGGCAGGGGAGAAAGTCATGGGCCTTTAGCGTCTGGACCTGATGCACCCTGCACCGTCTGCTAGCTGTTTGGTGAGGGTTAGAAGCCCTCAGCTGGCCAAGGGCCACCGGGCAGGATGAGAGGTAATTATCTGAACAATCAACCCAGGCTGGGGCGGTGCCCACCCATCTCAGAGCCCCTGAATTTCTGGGCACTGGCCATGACCATGGGCAAGCAGACCCGTGCAGAGCCTGTAGCCCCTGATGATCGAGACCTGGCGGCCCTGAAGATTGTTGCCAGGAACCCCCGCTCCAGCTGGAGCTCAGGGTTCACCCAAGCTGATCGTGCTCATGCGTCTCCTCCACCCTGGTGCCTCTAGCCCTGGCCCCTCCCCACTACCCTTGAGCCCAAGATGGCGCACCTGCTGGGCGGAACGGATCATCCTGCGGGCCTCATCCTTGATGCTGGGGCTGTCGGGGGGCGGTGGCTGCACCAAGGTGGTCACCTCGGTGCCCTGGAAGCCGAAGGTCAGAGGCCAGCCCAGGTCAAGCTCAGGCACGGCCTGGTCTGAGTTCACTGGCCAGTATGTACCTGAGGAGCCATCCATGTCCACGTCGAGAAGGCTGCCTTCGGGTGGCTCTCGGGTAACATACTGTGGAGGCCGAAGGTGTCGGCTCACATGTTCCAGCTCTTCAGGGCACAGGAAGTCTGGTGCCCCCTCAGTCGCCAGGAAGCGGCTGTAGGCCTCCGAGCCACCCTCGGCCAGTGCATCCACCGCCAGGCGGTAGTACTCTTTGTAGTGAGGCGGCAGGTACCCGGGTGCCAGTGGGTTGTCCCCCTGCGAGGAGCTCTGGGAGCGACGGGCCATGTTGGGGCCAGGGGTCTGGAGGGGCAGGGAGACACATGACTAGGGGTGGGGGCACTGGGACCACTCCTACCCTCTAGAATGGACACACTGTGGAAGGGGCTGTCAGTGACTTGGGTAGGCTGAAGTTTAGCCCATGCCCAGGAGGCCTTCCAGGACACCAGCTGAGCCAGGCTCACAGAGGGCAACCCAGACTGAGGAACACCCCAAGCTGAGGGGATACTGGTAGAGGGTGGGGCACAGGTATCCCAGCCTTGTCTCTCCTTCCTCTGGGAGGCTGAGGCAGGATAACCGCTTGAAGCCAAGAGTTTGAAACCAGCCTGAGCAACACAGCAAGACCCCATCTCTACAAAAAATTTTAAACATCAGGCAGGCATGGTGGCGTGCGCATGCAGTCCCAGCCACTTGGGAAGCTGAGACAAGGATTGTTTGAGCCCAGGAGTTGGAGGCTGCTATGAGTTATGATTGTGACACTGCACTCCTGCCTGGGTGATAGAGACTGCATCGCTACAAAAAATGAAAATAAAACCAACCGCCCCCAAAACATTTTATGACTGTTGGCTTAAAGACAAACATAATCCAGGCTGTATTCATCATTATAGTATTCACTTTTTTCTTAAGACATTCACAGGCCCCTGGCACTGTGCCTACTGGATAAGCTGGTGCCACCCATGCTGGCATGTGTCTGTCCCTGACTGCCTGGGAAACCGTGGGTAGGTCACTGCACCTCTCTGGCCTACCTCTACTGCACAACACAGCTGAGGGTCCACAAGACACCGTGCCTAGCCAAGGTGAGCGCAGCAAACAGGGCTGTGACCACCCTCCTCCTGGAATGGCAACCCTAAGCCCTACGCATAGCCCCGGGCGACACCTCCTCCCCATCCCCAGGGTTTCACAATTGGGTTCCCACAGCCCATTCTATGACTGCCCAGCCCTGCAACACTGACCCCTAGACTCTGTCTCTGTCTACCAGTCCCCCTCCTTCCCTTGACCTTTCTTGTCACTGTCCTTCTCAGATAAAACCTCCCTGGACCACAACCCCTTGGTGCCCACAGGGCCCTGCAGGGCCTGCACTCCACATCGCCCAGATCTGGCTCTCCACTTGCTCAGAGTCCTGTTGCCACCAGCCCCCCGTCCAGGGCAACAGGGACCTTTCCAGGTCCTGGGCTCCCCACCATCATCCATACTTGGCTGCCCCACAGCCCAATCTGTTCTCCAAAGGGTCCCTGCAGGGTGCCTGGCCTCTCCAGAAAGGTCAGATGGGGCGCACCCAGGGCCCACGCCTGGGGTCACCGAGCTACCTGGGTACCTCTCCCTGGAAGGAGAGCCCTAGGGACCGCTCAGCCCATCCCACTGCTCCTCGGGTTGGGGAGGGAGGCAGGACACCTATCCCCGCCTAGCACACAGGTTCCCGAATGTTGGCCCTGGCTGGGAAGGTGGTTCAGCCCAGACAGAGGAGTGTGCCCTGGGGCACTGACAGGATGGGCGCTGGCCAGCTGGACTGCACGGGTGCTAACCGGAGCCACTAGGCTGAGAATGTTGGGGTCAGGAGGCCGCCGTCCTGCCTGGTACCCCCGGGGGTGACATGGAGTTGGGACATGGGAAATACCTGGTGCCACTCAACAGCCCCAGATGCCAACTGGCCTGGGAGAAGCTGTCCCAACATTTCTTTGTTGGGGCATTGTCCTCATGGTTGACATATGGGGCTCGTTAGGGCAGATCGAGGCCAACCACATGGGGGTGAGGTGTAGGCCTGTCTGGCTGGGCCGGGGCGCCCACTCACCACTGCCAGCCTGGCTGTAGGGGCGGTGTCTGACCATACAGGGCAGGGGGAACAACCCTGCTAACCTTGTTTGAGGGCACTTCCCGACGCTGGGGGACACTCTAGAAAGGACCCCCACTGTCCCTTAGGATTTCACAGGGGAGGGATATCCACACAGCATCCAGACTCCAGGCTGTGTGTAATGGGGGCAGGGATCATCTGGACTGTGGAATCCCCCGTTGCCAGGAGCCCTCCCAGCAGACAACCCTCATCATCACAGGGTGATGCCCAGACCTCCAATGGCTTCATTCCTCACATCGTGTCCTTTCATGGGTACGTGTCTGCTGGGCTATGGACGGGGCCGCAGACACTCCCAAGCCTGAGATGGAGCACCCCAGTGGCCTGCATGCCCACACATTTGCCTACCAAACGCTTGCCCAAGGGAGGTAGGGCACGGAACCCACCCATGGCCAATGACTCAGCACGAATCCACTCTTCTGCTGCTGACCCCTGACCTCTGACTCGAAGTCAGGGCCCTCAGCTGGCCTTCAAGGACCCCATCCTCTCCACCCTGGCAGGAAGTGGGGTTCCTGAGTATCTGGAAGGAGGACCCCATGGAAGGATCCGGAGTTCCTACACAAAGTGGGGTGAGCCTGTGCCAAGTTCCGATGGGCCCAGGAGGGCGCGGAGGCTCTAGGAGGCGGAAAGGTGGGGTGCGGAGGACAGGGCTCACAGACCGGAAGTCGCTCAGTGATAGCTTGCGGGGTGGGCACCCCAGCCCCCAACGGGGTCAGTGCACCCTGCGAGCTCGCGGCTGCGGCGGCTGGGTGCCCCATCCACCCACCCCAGCCCTGGAACATGGGCGCTACGGGCAGCCCTCCCGTCACTCGCCCTGCTTGCCAGGCGGGGATCCAGGCCGCACCCTGGCCACCCCAGTCCACGGTGGCCCGGGCGGGCGTCCCCAGGGAAGGGTCCAGGCCGTGCCCAGCACCCAGACTCCAGCTAGGCCGCGAGGGCAGCAGCGAGTCGGGACGGCCAGGCAGGCTCGACCCAGATCCCGGGCCGCTTCCCACTCGGCTCTTCTCGGGCTGCCGTCGTGCGAGGGCGCTCGCGTCCATATCCGCACAGCGGCGCCCCCTGTCCGAGCTGACCCGCCGCCCCGGCCCCGCGCACGCGGCCGCGCTCCACTCCCACCTCCCCTCTCTGGGTCGCGCGGCCCCGGCCCAGGTGCGGGCGCGAGGGTAGCCCAGGTGGGACCGCACCGAGGGGCGCCCGCCCCCGCCTCGCCCCGCCCGGGCCGGGGGAGGGGGGCCCTACCTGGCCAGGTGCGCGGGGTCTCGGCACAGGGGCAGCAGGAGCCGACCGCCGCCCAGCGGCCTCGCGGTCCGGTCGGTCCGGCAGCCACTCCCTGCCGCGGCCCGCCCGGCCTGATTCACGCGCCCGCCCCCGCCCCGCCCGTCGCTCCTGCCTCCTGCCTGCCCGGGCAGCACCTGGGGGCGGAGCGGCCCCACCCGCGGCGCGCCCGCATTCCTGCGCCCCGCGCCCGCCGCGGCCCCGCCGCCCGCCCCGGACCGCGCCCCCGGCCCGCGCCCCGACCCTCCGCCCCGACCCGCCCGTGCCCTGCGGCCACGTGCCCAGAAACCCCGGCCCAGCGCCGCCGGAGACCGTGAGGCCCCCACTTCAAAGGCCTCGACCCCCAGGAGCCCAACTGTTGACCCCAGGCTCAAAGTTCCTAGCCTGACCCCTGACCCTCGCCCCGGAAGTTGGGGTGACTCGGAAGTTCCGGCTCAGTCGCTAGGAAACAAGCCAGCCCGACGCAAGGGGCGGAGCTCTGATCTCCTCGCCGAGTTGGTGAAGGCAGGTGCGGCAGGTGAGGGCGCTGGGGCGGCGTCGAGCCCCGGGCGGGGCCGGGTCTGGGAGCCCCGAAAGCACAGGGGATCCATTCACCACACACCGGTCTCCCACCGCACCAGCGTCCCACGCGTAGAGGGGATCCCGCCCAACAGAGGACCCCCAGGCCCCGACCCCCACCACACACACACACTGATGCCCACAAGTACCTGGGGTTCCCCATCTTTCTCCCTCATCCCTTCACATCCATGCCCACACTTGTAGGGGACTCTGCTGCAGTGACCCCCAATGCACATGCGGACCCCGAATGACCTGTCCCTCGTGTGCACCAACCCCCCAAGCACAGGAGACTCCTCAGGAAGACAGAACCCAACAAGAACACCCAGTCCTGTCCACTTCAGTCACCCACAAACACGCTGACGTCCGCACACGTAGGGAACCCCACCTGCATATGAGATCCCTCAGACACCGATCCCACACACAAACAGGGATGCCATATTCACACTGACTCTGAGAGACCAGGGGACCTCCCTCACACATATAGAACCCTGGGTGTACACTCGGGGACCCCGCGAAAACCAAGCCCCAACACGGACAAGGGACCCAGTGTGCACACCAAGCCTCACATACCAGACGCCCCCGCATGAACACAGCAACCCCACACACTATCCCGAGCTGCCCCTGGGTGCTCCAGTACCCCCAAATCCCCCTCAGGCCCTCACTTAGGGCCTCTCCCCCCGCTTAGGCCCTGCCCTGCACTGGATTACCTGTCCAAACCACCACCCTTCACCCCTGCCACTCCCACCCCAAGGACTGGCCCTGCCTGAACGCTTTCTGATGGTATCAGTCACCTTTCTGTTTGTCCCTCTTGCCATGTGATCCTATTTTCTGTTTTCAGGGTCACTCCCAGTTTCATTTGTTCTTTCCCCAGACACTCAGTGACACCCCACTGGTACCAGTATGCTGGAAACATGGGTGGGGGGTCAGACCAGTGCCCAGGCAACTGTGCTGTAGCGGGTGAGGGGCATGGGGCACCAGGGAGGACCCCGACAGGCCAAAGCAGGCAGGAGGAGCCTCCCAGGGAAATGAACTTGGGGGTCAGCTGTGTGGACTAGGGAGAGGGGTATTACTCCAGGACCTGACAACACCATCTGCCAAGGCCGGGACCACATAGGGTCTGAGGGCGTGGAGGGGTGAGTGCCTTGGGTGGGCTGGGGAGCAGGCTCACGGGTGGGCTGGGTTCCCAGGGCAGTGGAGAGGCATGGAGGCTTCAGCAGAGAGGGCCGTGCTCATGCTTATGGTGAGAACAAAGACCGTCCCACTGGCAACCCAGCACCTTGGGGCAGTGAGAAGAGTGCTGGACTCCAGATCCTGGGCCTGGCGGGATGAGCTGAGCCTGGGGTGGAGGAGCAGGCAAGCCACAGCCGGGGGGATGGGATGTGGCCAAGTGCTCTTGCCAGGCATCCCGGCTCAAGCTTCTGGGCACACACCTGGGGCGGGCAGGCAGACAGGACACCAGCTGGGAAGCCTTGGGGGAAGCCCATGTTCCTGCTGTTATCCACTCAGGCCCCCGTGGTGTGCCCTGTTCCCCACTGCCGCTGTCCCTGCCCTCTGCCACTCTGAGCACCCCCTCCCTGGTCCTTCCCTACCCATCCCCCAGGAGAATGCACAGTAAGAAGGGGGGACCCAAAGCTGCAGCTGGGAAGTGGCAGACGCTCCACCCTGGGCCCAAGCCGAGAGCCACTGCTGGTGAGTGCACCCTCTGACCTCCAGGGCACTGTCACCCAAACACGGACCTGTGAGACCTTCTGTGTAACCACTGAGAGACACCCCCTCTGAGGAGAGCCCTTCTTCCAAGAGTGGCTCTCAGGGGATCTCTGAGTTGGGATTAGGTGTGACTGACAGAGGGTTCATTCATTCATCTCGGGCCTTGAGTCTGAATCTTTTTTTTTTTTTTTTTTGAGACGGAGTCTCGCTCTTGTCGCCCAGTCGAGTACAATCCCGACTCAGTGCAACCTCCACCTCCTGGGTTCAAGTGATTCTTCTGCTTCGGCCTCCTGAGTAGCTGGGATTATGGATGTGTGCCACCACGCCCTGCTAATTTTCGTATTTTTGTTTTAGTAGAGAGGGGTTTCGCCATGTTGGCCAGGCTAGTCTCGAATTCCTGACCTCAGGTGATCCGCCCACCTCAGCCTCCCAAAGTGCTGGGATTACAGGCTTCAGCCACCGTGCCTGGCCCAGCCTTAATCTTATACGCCTGGGGTTGGGATGGGGGCCTGGGGGTAGCGCTCAGAGAAGCCCAGTTTTGGGGGATGGGAAGGGGGCAGGAGCCAGTGGGAGGGGCCTAGGTGGCCAAAAATGGGTTTTGAAACAGGAGGGCTTGAGTCCAAGTTGGGGATTCTCAGTCTAAATATGTGTTCTGCTCTGACTCTGCTCCATCTGGCCGTCCTGTGCTGCCCTCTGCCTGCCGCTTTGCTCCCAGTCACCTTCTCCGTAGTCACTTCCAGGTTGGATGGTGACAACTCACCTGGGCTGGGTTTTCCTGTGGGTCGGGAAGGGGACTTCCCCCAGATCCCCCCCGACCCCGCCTTCACTGTTGTCACTCCCTTGCCCCAACTCCCATTTATTCTCTGTGCTGGCTGTGAACACATTCCAGGCTGCAGATCTGGGGTCCTTCAGCACCCAGGCCTGCGCTGGGGTCTGTGATTACTAAGAGAGTATCCCAGACTGCTCCCCAGACTGCCCCTCTGCTTAGAGTGGGCCTGGCCTAACACCCCTGGATGCCAGAGAGCTCCCAGATTCACAGGAGCAGGTGGGATGATGGTGACCACTCCTCCACACCAGGCTGGGGTTAGATCCTAGTTCCCCAAAATAGCCCCAGCTGCGTCTGAGGCCAGCAGCCCTCCTGGAATGAGGATAATGGGCACAGGCGCCGCATGCTGCTTCCGCAGTCTCTAGCCCTGAGTACACTGCACTCCAATAAACGGGGCAGGGCAGGCGGACCTGCCGGCCAGGAAACTGGGTTGCGTGGGTGGGGGCTGTGCTCTTCAGTTCTGCTACCTACTGACTGCACCCCCAGGCCTTCGCCCTGCACCGCAGCCCATACACTGCCCTGGACAGCTCTGGCCCAGCATACCTGGGTCTGCTGCAGGGACACCTCTGTCCCTGAACAAGTATCTGCCCTCAGTGCCCACTTCCACCAAGCGTTGGGCCAGCCTAGGCAGGCTTGCTGTCCCTTGGTCTTGCAGTGCCCTGCGTGGCGGGCACGGGCTTCACTTGGCATATGTGAAAATGGGCCCACAGATGCCCTGCATCCAGCCTGGCTTCCTGGCCCTCCACAGGCATCCCTAGGTTGCTGGAGTGGCCACCGCACCAACACAAGGGTCCGGGATCCCCTCCCCGCCACCCCATCCAGGCCTTACCTGGCCTTGGGTCTGCAGTGCTTCGAGGCCCTCACTCCGGAGCTGCTCCAGGGCCATGGCCAGCTGCAGCCCCTCCACGTGCACCCAGGCCTGCTCCTCCTGCAGCTGCTGCAGCCACAGCTGCTCCTCCTGTAGCTGCTGCAGCCACAGCTGCTCCTCCCGCCACAGCTGCATCTGCAGCTGGACCTGCCTCCACCGGTCCTCCAGCAGCAGCTGCTCCTGGGCCAGGCAAAGCTGGACCTCATGGAGCCTCAGCAGTTCAGGTCCCAGGGCCGGCATGGGGCCCCCTGCTCCACAGCCTTCCATGTGCCCAGTGAGAACCAGCACCAGCTCAGACCCTGGAGCAGCAGCCGGCACCGGCCTCGAGGCTGCCTGTGGCTGCTCTGGCCTGGCCACCCTGGGGTGTCCCTGAGGTGCTGGCTCGATGCTGGTCACGTGCCCTGTAGGGGCCACCCCCGCATCACCCTGAGGGCCCCCTGGGGTGAGGGGCGGGGGCTCGACCTCAGGGCCCTGCTGCCCAGCTGCCGGCTGGGCCCTGCCTGCCCTCCTGGCCCGGTGTTTGCGAACTCGACCTCGTTTCCCAGACATGGCCCTGGATCCAGCGTCTCCTTCACCAGGTGTCTGCTCCCCAGGGGCCCTGGCTCATCGACTGGCCGGCCTCAGGCCAGCTCAGAGGGCGTCCCTGGAGGCCACAGTGGCTGTGTGCTCCCACGCCAGGCTCGGCCCCCTGTTCCAGGTCCTGCCCCTTGGCTGGTGCCCGCAGCACCGCAGCTCGGGACTCTGGCTCTGCCTGTGGGCCTCACTGACCCCACTCGGTGGGGCTGGGCCACACCAGGGAGTTTATAGGGACTCCGCGGCGTGGTGGCTCGCCTGGGCTGAGGCTGACTAACGCGCTGACACGGCGGCACGGGGTTTTACAGGCCGCAGGCCCTGCTGGCGAGACTGGGAGGGAGGCTGAGAAGCTGGAGGAGGCAGCGCCGCAGCCAGAGCGCCGGCTGTGCACAGCAACGGGCGTGCCTGGTCCTGCCCTGGGCGGCACCAATGCCCCCCGCTCCCGCCTCACCCCAGCTCCTGCAGTCCCACAGCTGGTTGAGGGAACTGCATCCTGGCCGCACTGACCCTCAGGGCCCAGACCCTCCCTGGCCACAGATAACCTGAGCCCAGCTGACCATGGGAACCCCCAGCCCGCGCACTCCGGAGGGCTCCAGGGCAGCTAGCACGCTCCCAGGAGCACCGCTGGGGTTTGGGCTTGCCCGTGGTGTTTGGTGGAGACAAAGGGTCCAGGGACACAGTGGGAGCGAGGGCAGGGTTTGGGCCACTGCACTGTGGCTGACGGGAGAGACTGGGCCCTCAAAGGCCCGCATGGCACTTTGTGAACGGATGTGGGGCCCAAAGAAAAGTCCTGGCGGTCATGGAGGTGGGGCCGGGGCTCTTGGTGCCGTCCTGCCTGGGGGCTGGCTGTCCTGCACACTGCAACAAGGGCCTGACTGGACCAGAGCTGCCTTTGGGTCTTGGGGCCGGAGGTGGGGGTACAGGGCTAGCCCCAAACACCAGCGTCCTCTGGGCTTCCTGTTGGGAGGGTGGGCTCCAGGTGGCCTCCTCCCTAGCGTTTCCCCAGCCCGGGGCCGCTGACTCACACCCACGCCCAGGGCCCCATCCCAGCCGGTTCAGTCACACTGGCCCGACTGGTTTGCCTGGCCCAACCCTGCCTGGAGCAGTGCTCCTGCTCCTCTTCAGTCCTAGCCCCAGAAGCTCAGGAGCAGAGGGACAGCCACCTGCCAGGGGAGTGCCCAATTGGACACACAGAGATGGGAAGGGCCTGGGGGAGGGACGTGGCATAAGGTGGTGGACAATGTAAGGGGTGGGGCAGGGCCAGCAGGCAGCACTGCCAGCCCACAGGGTCCTTTTAGCAGAGATGCAACCTGCCTATTCTTGGCCCACAAGAGCCTGGGTGCGTTCCTGCTGGCTGGCTCTCGCCTGTGCCTCCCTGAGGCCCGCTGTGCAGTGGAGTATGTGCTGCTGGAGGAGCCCGTGCTCCTTGAGGTTGTCCGTGTGCCTCCCTCGGGAGGAGGCCCGGGTGGGGTGCTCCCTATCTGCCAGGATGCACGGCCCTTTTGGTGCCCCATAAGTGTCTCTTGAGACTGATGGGTATGGGGGCCTCTCACCCCAAGCTCACTGACGGTCCTTTTCCCCTAGGGAAGCCCGGTGAGAACCGCCCGCTGCAGAGGAAAGCGGGCCGGCAGGCAAGGGAGCCGGCGCCGGCTGAGAGCCCACAGGCCCCTCCAGGTGAGAGCCCGCGCGTCCCGCGCCCGCTGGGGTTGAGCAGGTGGGCTGTTGGCAGGGGGCTGCCCTGGGCCGGGACACGCTCGGTGTGGGCATGCGCTTGCATGTCATATAGACGTGTGGCGCTTGCATGTCATATACACGTGTGCTTGTGCGCGCGTGCAGGTGCGTGCACGGGTGTGTATGCGCGTGTACCCTCACCTGTGAGTGCTCGGCGCAGACCCGCGACACGCCCAAGCCCCTCCCGCCGCGACCGGCTCTCGCCCGCCGCCCGGTTGCGTAGCCTCTCGGGAAGACCCAGCTTGCGCCAGTCGCCCTCGTGGGGGTCGGGGCCGCCTCCATCCCGGGTCCGCCTTCATCGCGGGTCCACCGCATCGTGCCCGCCCAGCGCGCGCCTCCCTCCGGTGGCAGGAAACGGGACACCGCGCGGTCGCCTCGGGCCAGACCGCCTTCTTAGGCTCCGCAGCTCCCACCCTGCGCTGCTCCCGACCGGGTCGGCCGCTCAAACCTTGTGCCGGGCCCGGAACCGCCCTGAGGCTCAGCAGCGCCTCCCAACGCGAACTCGTCGGTGTCCACGCGCCCGCCGCCTTCCTTACTGCTCATTCTGTCCTCGCGGCTGCCCGCCCTCCTGCTTCTGCGCTGGTGCCGCGGGCCTACTTCACCCACGGTTCCGCCTGCTCTTCCCTGGGCTCCTCTCCACGGAGCCCATAGGGCCTCGCGGCCCACATCAGGTCTGACCCTGACGCCCCTGCTGGGCATGGGCCATCCTGGCTGCAGCGTCCAGATAGATGCAGCCCTGGTACCAACAGCCAGCTGTACCCCCCAGCTCAGGCCCGGCACCGCCCATCGCCTGATTGCCTGTGTACCCCCTCACACCGCGCCCCAGGTGCCAGGATAAGGAGCTCAACCCTGTCCTGAGGACGGAAGTAGTGGCAGTTGTTTGATAAGAGCCACAGGTGCGCGGAAGCACCGCCGCGGAAGGACCCGTGGGATGTAAGCGGTGGAGCCTGTCCAGTAGCTGGGGATTTGGCCTTGGCAAGAGGCGGCTGTGAGAGGAAGCAGGGAACACAGGCAAGGTCAGACCTTAGGAAAATCTGGGGAGGATGTCCCTTTTGTCACTGAAGGCCAGCACTGGGGCTCTGCCCGGGATCATCTCCAATCGTTCCTGTGTCTTGGTGTCATTTTCTCCAGGTGCAGGCTCCTGGTGGGAAACCAAGAGGCTGCTCTTCTGCTCTCGGTGTCAGGGAAAGGCAGGGACGCCCTCATTTTGCTTTCTGTAGTTTGAGGTGGACTCCTAGCTTTCCTCCAGTACAGCCCTGCCTCACTCGCTCTGCTCTGCGGGGTGTGGGGCAGACGGGACCAGGGAGCTTCATCTGGTCGAGGGAAACTCAGACTGGAGGCCACAGGGCCAGGAGCTGCATCCTGGCTGCACTGAGCCTCAGGGCTTCCCATCAGGAGCCCGCACCTGGAGAAAGTGACACCAAGACACAGGGAGCTCCATGACCCCTGCCATGGTGCCTGTTTTTGCTACAAAGTGGGTTTCGGGCTCAGAAGCAGGGCTGCTGGGGGTGCTGGGACTGCAGAGGTGGAGTTGGCAAGGGGGATTCTCCACATCTGCTAGGAAGTCTATTTCAGCCAGAATAGGCTGTGTCCCCTTCAGAGCCCAGGTGTCAAGTGAGACTGCCCTGCCTCCAGACGGTAGGCTCAGGGCTGGGCACTTAGTGTTGAGGATGTGCGAGGCTCCAGCCCACAGCCGTGGCCACCCAGCTCACGTGCCTTCGGAGGAGTCCATGCTGCTGACTCAGCGCTTTCTGTGCTTCGGGGACACCTGGTCGCCATCACATGGACACGCTATTTTTGCACTCGGAGGCTATTCCAGGAAGTCCATCCAGACAGAGCACGCCGTCCCCAGCCTCCTCCTCTCGGCCTGCAGCCCTGCTCTCCCCACATGTCTGATGATCTGTAAAGAGGGCTTGTTCTGCGTGGGTGGGACTTGCTCTAGATCAGTCTTGGAAAAGGAGCTCATGCTGTTGGTGTAGCCACCATTCCTGCCCCCATGCCACTCTGCCCCAGGGCCTGCTGGCTGCTGTCCATGGTGTGGTCATGATGTCCACCTGCCTGTCTGTGCCCCACCGTGGCCGACTCTCTCTAGGGGCGTCCCTACAGGATGCAGAGCCTCCCCCTGAGCTCGGCTTTCCCTGCTCCTCACAGACCCATCCCCCAGCCTTTTCCAACTCTCCGCATCACCACTGTCTGGGGCCCTGGAGAGCCAGCCCCAGCCCTCACTGGTGTTCGGAGTTAGTGATACACAGGAAGTGGGTGATCAGGTGCCCCCGGGGGGCTGTCCCTCGCTGCTGCCCCCAGGACCTCCCTGCATGGGACTGCAGAGTGCGGGGGAGGTGAGGCTGGAGTTGATGCCAGCGTGTGGGAGCCTTTCCCAGCCTTTCCTCTGCATTGGTGCCCTCCCCAGGCGGCATCTGTGCCGCAAAAGGGGGCAAATGCGATGGGCCCGGGGACTCACCTATGTCGTCTGGGCTGGGCCCACAAACACCGTTTCCACCACGCAGTAGTTGGCTGCTGGGCTGCCCAAGGGCGTGACTGTGGAGCAGGGAAACCCAGCCTGGGAAGGCAGCATTCCAGGAGCTGCTTTCCAAAAGAAGAATAGCCTCCACTAGGAAGGTGTGGCTGGGCCCCAGAGCCCCAGAAACCTGTGGGAGGCTCCACAGGGGCCTGCCAGAGGCTCCACACCCACCCTACCTCCTGCACACCGGATCCTCGGGACAGACAGTGTGGTCCAAGCAGCCCGGCAACTTTCACCGTAGCCAGCAGCCCTGGGCCACATTGGGGACGGCGAGCCTCTGGGTCTCTCAGTCAGCGGGTGGGGCAGTGACCCCAAACATGGCCTGTGCTGCTGCCACGGTGCTAAGGGGCCTGCCGAGCATGGGGTCTTTCTTGCTGGATGGAGGCACAGGTGCCAGAATCTGTCTTTTGCCCTGTGGTGTCCTGGTACAGCCTAGATCTGTGGACCCCTTCACCAGGTGCTTTATCCCCCACCCCCCAGAACTCCTGGGACCATTGAGATGCCCAGGAGATGGGGGGTTCCTGTGCCTGTGTCCCCTTGCTGCTATAGCAGCCGCCACATCTACCAGCTCTGCAGGGTGGCCACCAGGCACGGCCTTGGCAGGCTGACATCGAGGAAAGCCAGCTGTGCTGCAGGTTTCCTTCCCTCTGGCTCTCCACTTCTGCCTCCCTCTTCCACTGTTTTTGGTTTGGGTTTTTTAATGTTTTGTTTTGTTTTTTTGAGACGGGGTCAGCTGTCTTGCCCAGGCTGGAGTTCAGGGACTATTCCCAGGCGTAACCCTAGCTCACTGCAGCCTCCACCTCTTGGGCTCAAGTGATCCTCCCGCCTCAGCCTGAGTAGCTGGGACTACAGGTGTGTGCTCCCATGTCTGGCAAGCCTCTTTCAGTGTCACTATAGGTTTTTCTCCATCTTTTTTCATCTTTGGACTTGGGCTGTTTGACTTGAGTCTTCCAGTCTGGATTTTGCTGTTAAGATGGAAAACCTTGAGACTGCGTCTTTGTTTAGCATTTAGACATACGGCCCCTCTTCATTTGCTCAGTGGAATTACGATTGCACTTGGAAATGCGTCGTCTTGGGTGTGTTCTTTAAGCTGAACTTTTGTAGATCTGGCAGGACATTTAACACCAGGCCGTGAAGCCTGCTTCAGAAGTGACTGAAACATCTGCTTTATAGTGTATATTTTAAAAAATCATTTTGTCATATGAATAATTACACTGCCATTTACAGATAAATGAGATCAGAAACATTAGTTTCATATGTTGTAGTTTTTAGTTTCTGAATACCCATTGGATTCTTTTTCTTTTTTTTTGAGATGGAGTTTCCCTCTGTTGCCAGGCTGGAGTGCACTGGGGGTTGGCTCACTGCAGCCTCCGCCTCCCAGGTTCAGGCAATTCTGCCTCAGCCTCCTGAGTAGCTGGGACTACAGGCGCATGCCACCACACCCGGCTAATTTTTGTATTTTTAGAGACAGGGTTTCACCATGTTGGCCAGGATGGTCTCGATCTCTTAACCTTGTGATCTGCCCGCCTCGGCCTCCCAAAGTGCTGGGATTACAGGCGTGAGCCACTGCTCCCAGCCACTGGATTTGCTTTTAATAAATTTTAGTTCCTTTTTGAAAATTATCCATATTTGTGTCCATTTCATTCATATTTTCCTTAATATACTTACAATACCTATTTAAAGCTCTTTTCTGCTAAATTTAACATCTGGGCCAGCCATTCATCTGCTTCCATTAGCCAGCTTTTCTCTCTTTTTTTTTTTTTCTTTTCTTTGTTTTTTTGAGACAGCATCTTGCTATGTTGCCCAGGCTGGTCTCGAAATCCTAGGCCCGAGCCATCCTCCTGCCTTGGCCTCCAAAGTAGTTGGGATTGCAGGCTTGAACCATCAGGTCTGGCTCCTCTTCCAATTTTACAGACCCTCGTGATTGCATAGGATCTCCCCGGGTAATCTGGGATGGTCTTCCTGGCCTAAGGTCAGCCGATGAGCAACCTTAATTCATCTGCAATCTCCATTCCCTTTTTGCTGCATCACCTCAAGTATTCACAAGTTCCAGGGGGCAGGAGGCGGACATCTTTGGGAGACATTATTCCGCCCACCAGAAAGCCCAGGAGCAGCCACAGCCCTGAGACGAGGCAGGGAAGGAGTGCTGCTGTCTGCTGGTGAAGATGAACTGCTTCTGACCCTCCCAAGTGAGGATATGGAGAAGAAAGAGTTTGCCAAGATGCTAGTCACACACCAGCTGCAGAGGCTATGTTGATCTGCTGTGGCAAAAAGACCACTCGCGGCATGGCAGCTCTCACAGGCCCTGCTGCGTCTTCAGGTTTGCTGCAGTCTGTCACCCACGGTCGTTATTAATTTGTTTTCACAAAGGCCGGGCAGGTGAACCTAATGGAGATAGGAACCACCACACCTGCTTCCCTGG